CTAGCAAACATTTCAAAACATTTTCAAACTTTTGAAATGTTTCGACTGCCCTCGTTTTGTTTTGAGGCAGTTTCAAAGCCCTTTGTTTCATTTTGATTTCGCTGTTTCCAGCTTGAAATGAGTTGAAATGAAACAGCTGGCAAAATTTCGCACAGCCCTAATGTTAATATTTGATTCTTGGCATATGAATTGGTTAAGGAGGTTCAAGTTGGAGCAGGTTCACATTTATGTTGGAAATAAGATTTCTCAGCTCTATATACAATGAAGCTATACCAGATCTTTTTGCAAAAAATAATCAAACTGTTCTGTTCATGTATTAGAAGAGTGGATTCTTAATAGCAATAAAAAATAGAAGTTTTAAGGGAGGTTAGTATGGTCTCGTAATCTTTCAAATCACCAAGGTACATATGGAATCAAGGGTGTAGGTTGCAGCCGTGTTGGCCTAAGGACAGGCAGACAAGGTTCTTTGGGTGAGTCTGATATCTTTAAGTAGACCAACTTCAATAGTTAGAAAAAAAAATTTAAGCAAGTTTTCAGGTTTAAAAACCCTTCATTAGACTGAGGAAGCATCTGCAGTTGGTGTGTGATCTTCCTGGATGGAATGAAAAGTAAAGAAGCCAGACGCTGGGCTGGTGTGCCATAATTGACTTGGAATCAACTCAATTATGCCATCTTGTTCTTATCCTCCATTACCTACTATTATTTGTTACACAATGTTGTCTCCTTACTGAAACAGGGAACCCTCGCCCTGCCACTAGGGGAAGTCTGCAGGGCAAACAAAACCCGCAGGGTTTTTGTGGCTTGAAGGGATAAGAGGTCAGGAAAAGAAAATCCAGCTCAAAGGACAGACAAAAATGCCACTAGGGAGAAGCCCTGTGTAACAGGCAGCAAATGGAAGAAAGGCAAGGTACCTGCAGCCTCCGGTAGCTCTGCACAGGTGGGTTGGAAGCAAGCGGAGACTGCAGCAAAAGAGAGACAGCTGGCAGGACAGGAAGGGCTAATGAGAAACCCCTGTGCTGGGGCTGAGTCGCAGGACTGGCTGGCTGGAAGAGAAGGGGCTTATAATCCTGAAAGGCTTGCTCTCAGGCCAAAAGAGTTCACTCTGGGTGGGAAAATGTGAGCTCCTAGGCAGGTGACTGTGGAAGTCACAGTCACAGTCAGGGGAACCATGGTGGACAAGGGTGAAGAACTCCCTCTTCTGAGGGGAAGTTGATTTAGAGGGATGAAAATTTGAGTTCATCTGGGGGGAGGTTCTTAGTGTGTGTACCTCGTGGCCCATTTTTGCTGGGCAGAGAGCCCTTTTACATAGCCCCTTACTTTTTGGGGGGCTCCTAAAAGTGGTGGGGTGCGTGCCTTTTTATGATCGGTGACAGGTGGAGCCCTGGGTCAGTAGGGAGATGCCTGTGGAGGCCTCTTCTGTGGTAGAAAGGCCTGGGTTGCAAGCTGGTGGCTGAAAGGGAGCCCTGGGAATGTGTGTGGGGATGGGCAGTCGGTGCGGCCAAATGTTTGGTGGGGGGATAAGGTGTGTGTTTGGGGTTTTTTTTGTTTTGTTTTTTTTAGTTTGGGGCCAGTGGAGAGGGTTCAGGATCTAGCAGGTAAGAAGGCAGCAGGACTGGGGGATTGCGAAACATCTCTGAGGCTCAGTGTGAGGCTGGCAGCTACAAGGGGAGTTTGGGACTGTTATGGGCCTCTTTTGCCAGGCAGAGGGCCCTCTTATGGAGTTGTTTTGTTTTGTGGCAGCCAAGAAGGTTGAGGCCCTAGCAGGTAAGAAGGCCTTGGGGCTTTCAAAGCATCTCTGAGGCTGATCCTCCCCACCCCGACACGTGTCAAGCTGAGATGGGGCCCCAGAGTGCCGGGTTCAGGCTTGCAAAGATGCAGGGCTTGGCACGGCATGTCACGCCAAGCCCCAAATTCTACCCCATGCTTCAATGGGAGCCCTGGGAATGTCTCTGGGGATGGGAGAGTTGGTGTGGCTAAAATACATTTTTTCTTTTTCAGTTTTGGGGCAACCGAGACCATTCGAGCCCCAGCACCCCTGTGGGCTTGCATAGCATCTCTGAGGCTCAACACCAGGCTGACCGGTAAAGCGTGGAGCTTGTGGCTGCTTGTTGCCTCTCTTTGGTGAATAAAAGGCCCCCTGACATGCCCTGTAAACATTGTTTTTAAATTATGATAATGCTGTTGTGACCAGTGTCTGAGCCTGTTCTTGGTTCATGGTAGTTTTACCCTTCAACCTGTGGTAGCTGTCCTGTTTTGTGGCCTAGCAGCCAAGTGTTGGCTTTCTGTTCGAAAGGCTGGGGGCTCAAGTGTGGCTGTGGGTGTCTGATCTTCAGTCTGTACAAGTCCCCCTTGTGGACTTCTGAGTACTTATTTATTACACCCAAAATCTGCTGTTCAGATCACAGGCTGCCCTTAATAGTTCCCTCACTATCTCTTTGTTTTACTGTGGGTCATGTGCAGTACAGACCCAGGGGTCTTGGCTGCAAAGAAGCACAGAGAACATGCCAGACAGGCAGGCTTTTTGTTGACTCCAGACCTGGGCATTCAGGCTACAGGGAGCAAAGTGCTGTGTTTGCACCTTCCTTCAGCTTTCTTCATCTGGCTTGGGGACTCACTCAGATGAGGCCCAACTTTTCAAGTTTCAGATTTTCACATTTCCAGGATGCCTTGGCTCACACTACATATGGACTTCCAGTGAGAGAGCTACTGAGTCTTGCACCGTGGTATCTCTGGCACTTGCATTATAGCTGCCCAGTGAAAGGCCAGGAGCTCCAGGCTGACTGTGACCTCCTGAATGGGGCAGAGGTTCCTGCAGGGGTGCCCATGCAACAAGCAGGGACACCAGGAGCTCTTCAGGAGAGCCTTCTGGGTAGCACAGGTGTTGTCATCTGCCTGCTATATCTGAGGACCTAGGGGAGAAATTTACTCAGTCAGGCTTCTTGTTGGCTTCTGGGTTTGGTGTTGCGGTTACTTTATTCTTGAGCCAAGACTGTCCCCATCTTCCTGTGGCTGGTGTGCGGGCCGGGAGCGGTCCGGGCCCTTTTTCGCGCTGCGCGGGCTGTGACCAGCAGCCCGGGCACGCTGGGTCGGAGAGAACAGGCGACACGCTGGAACTAGGCACGGACGCGTAATGATTGATTTAAGATTATTTGCTTACACCGAAGATGGTCGCGGTGCAGGCAGGAAAACTTGCTTGAGTTACAGATAGAAAAGAAGAGAGGCAGACTAGAGTTCCTTCCCGTGAACATTCTTCTAGCCCATCCGTTTGGAGGCTCTAAACTGCGAGCCCGTCGCGCCAACCGAAGAAAGTACTCGAACTCACACGAAGTTTGCTAGGCTCTGTGGAACTTGTGCGCGCAGGGAGAGGGATACGTCGAGGTTTGCGCTCGGTGACGGGGAGAGGCTAGAGGCTGATCAGATCCCTGTTGCCTGCTTGAAATGCACTGGGTCCAATAGGCTCCACAGCACTTGGAGATCTTCACACAGTGTGAAGTCTCCTCCTCCTGGTGTTCGTGGAATCCTCCAACTTGGACGGAAACCACTCAAGCCTTTTATACGGCTGGCAAGCCAATCGCTAGCCGCCACGTGTGAATAATTTCACGCAAGCCAATAATGGGGCTTGAATTAGAATATGAATGGTGGGAACGCTTTGCAACGAGCATTTCTATGCTGCAACAAAGAAATGCACCCTGCAAAGAAAGCTACAAATTGGCAGGAATTCTTTTACACCGGGGTTCTCCTCTGCAGCAGAAAACTCCACCGTGCAAAGAAGCTGCAATTTAGCGGGAACATAATTCAGTGGTGCCAAAGCACACGCAAAACAAAAATCACACCTTTGGGTTGTGACAGCTGGGTGGAGGTGCTTGTGTTCTGGTGTCAGAAGATTTGTTTTTGGTCTGTTTGTTGTTTTTTTTGTTTTCCCCCCCTCCCGGCGCCTTAACACAAGAATAACTTGGGCAGGCTTCTGAGCCCATGGGGCACATTTTTGTAGGGCCTAACTGGCCCTACTATGGGTGCCCAGCTGCTAAGTAGGTATGGTGCAATAACCCCATCTAAGACTTTTTAATGTGAATTAATTGCTGTCAGTTGAGGGGGTAAGGTCAGGCTTGTCTTATGCCCTCCTACAGCAAGCTGAGCTCCAATGGACTCCTGAGCCCACCTGTCCAGTGCCAGGGCTCTAGGGTGGAAAGTTGAAGGGCTAGGCATACTGGGCCCTGATTCCACCCCATGTTTAATTCTGAGCACTTGGAGCTTTGATGCAGATGGGTCCCAGCAAACTGTGGCCAGGGCACTGAGCAGCGCCCCAGGCGTGGCTCTTTTTCCTGTAAGGCTGTCCAGCCACCATCTTGGGGAGCATGAGGCTGGCTAAAAGGCCCCCTGCCACAGCCCCACAGCTACTCTGCTAACCCCAGCAGGCTGAGGCCCAAGGAGTTCAGGGCTGCCTGTGGCCTCATTTTGGTTGCAACTGAATAGATTTTTTTGGTGGAAGGGTGAGGTCCAAGCCTACCTTGATCCACATCTCTTAAGGAGACTGAGGGCCAAAGAAGTCTGCCCAACCAGGGTCATGGGTACCTCCGGATAGGGGTGCTGCACCTTGGGGATGACTGTCATTATTTTGGGGCTGCCCACCGCCTTCTCTCAAGTGTGCCTAAATGGATTTTGGTTTTTTATTTTGGTGGAGAAGGATGGCCTTGAAGACCCCTCAGCCTATACTGTTGAAAGGGAGACAAGGTTCCTTGGGTGAACTTGATATCTTTTATTAGACCAACCCGAATAGTTATTAAGCAAGCTTTTGGGTTCAAAAACCCTTCGTCAGGCTAAGGAGGTTTCAGCAGTTGGTGTGTGCTCTTCCTGGATGGAATGAAAAGTAAAGAAGCCAGGGGCTGGGCTGGGGAGTCAGTTGCCAGGCAGATTATAATGTGTCAAAAATCCAATGTCTATGTTTAGTCCATGATCTCTGGTATCCAGGAGGTTGATGAAAGGGAGTTCATAGGCTCGTCTCTGGGAAGTGTTGTGTAAGTTTCCCTTGAGGATCAGGACTGAGAGACTGGAGAGAGAGAGTGGCCCTCCTGTGAGAAGTGTGCCCTCACCGGTAATTGGGTATTCCTGTCTTTGATAACAGGAGTAGTCTACAGATGGTGATAATTGTGGTGATGTTTACGATCTTCACTCAATGGAGGTCATCCAAGTTTTAAAGTGTAGGTTTCTTCAAAAGTTTCATCTTCAGTAACAACTTCACACCTAATCTTGCATTCTTTCTCATCTCCTTTGGTTTTAAAATTTACAGATGTAGTAAAACCAGGCTTATCCTCACAGTCTGTGTTCTCTATTCCTTCTTCAATAGGATATCTTCCCTTATACCACGAAACGTAAGTGTTGTCTGTACTTATTCCATATATAAAACATTGAAGTGTTACATTCTCACCAGCCTTTGGGTTGTTGGTAAGGCACTGTATTGTCAGGGTAGGAGCTCTTTCCAGAATAGAGGATCTTGGGTCTGGATTAAAATGGAATTGACAGATAATGGGATCACAAATAAAGCCCTCAGCAATAAATAGTATTAATTAACTGGCCACACTCGCTAACTAAATTGTGTTCGATTGGTAGGGTTTGTAATTTTTTTAACAATCCTATTTCTTCCTGTTTACATATCACTGATACTTTTCAAAGGCACTTAAATAAACCAAAGACAAAGTGGTGTAGGCCAAAAGTACCTAGGCTCCCCTTATTGAGTTCTGGTGGGTACATTGGAAGTCAAGACCATCCATATGGAAGCTCTTTGTGTTCAGATTTCTTCTCTGGCCTCTGCAGGCCCCATCAGCTGCCCTGCTTCTCATGGACCCCAGAATTGTTTCTTGCCATCTTTGAGGGATTTCTATAGCCAAAAGGGCTATTTGTCAGGGTGGTATTAACCTTTTTGTGTTAATTCTTTACATGCAGTCTAGATGATAAAACGGTATACATCTAGCCTGCCCCACTTCCTCCCTACACATAGATCACAGGGCCTCCTGTGGGGAAAGAGAAGGGATGTTGCCACACAGACAGTGTTGCCTCCTGTCATGCCCCATAAAAGTCTTTCCTTCTACTGTGCCTGAGAAAATTAAAACAGTGTTCTAGACCAGTGAGGGCCAGATTTTTGGGTGGGCTTGCTACAAATTACCCCTGTATCCACCCCAGGTGTCCCTCTGGTCCCTTTATCCTGCTCAATCTGCTGCTCCGCTTTCTGCTCCTAGCCCTGTGCTCTCTGCCTGATTTGCTGCTTTGCTTTCTGCTTCCTGCCCTAGCTGAAACTGCTACCTCTCCTCTCCTGTATGCTACACAGAGGCTGCCACTTGTGACACCCAAGCTGGTTACCCCTGTTCTAGACCACTGTTGTTAGCATGGGGCTCTGGAACTAATCTGGACATTAGAAATAATACTGTGTGTTAATATACTTACTTGTTAATGATCCTTCGTGATTTTGATTTGTAGTCAGAGTGGACAGATCTCCAATACTGGTTGAAAAATCTGTAAATTAGGAAAATATATTCTGCTGATTTATACAGTGTACTCCCATTTATATGTATGCTGGAGTGAGACCTTGTTTGCCTCACTGTATAACACAATGCCTGTCCCAATTTGTTGCCTATTATCTGTTATTAACATCTATTACTGGTTAAGTGCATATGCCACTTAAATCCATAGGATCTTTCAGCCTATTTTATAACCTAAATTGTACTCGGAGCAACTGCACCAGAAAACAGTAAAGGGGAAACGGGTGGCAACACGCTGTTTTTTAGAATCCTCAAAAACAATGGGACTGAGTCGGTCTCAGAGCTCCTAATACTATAGCATCGACAGGACTGTAGACAATTCTCTTTAAGTACACAGCACTATCCATGCTGTGGAACTAGCAGCCCTGAAGTCTCTACCTCCCACCATTTTCAAAGTTTCTAATAGCTACTTCTGGGACACTTATTAGCAGCCTTGCAAATGTGGGAAGTGAGTCAGTTTTCAGGGCTGCTAATTGCATAATACCGGGAGTATCTACATGCAGAGCTGACCCTAGGTGGGTGCGGGGTCTGGGACAAATCAGCCTGTGCGGGGCCTCTTTAAGACTGTACAGGGCCATGGGACCCCTGCAAAGGCAGTGCTGTAGCAATGACATTTGGTGCCCGGGACCAAGCAGATCCTGTGTGCCCCTAACGAGCCACTCTTCAGTGGATGTGAAGCCGGCAGCATGCAGCAGGGGGGGTGGCAGCAAGCGGCCGGACGCTTCATCCGCAGCGCGGGGCTGAACCACCAGCTCCTGGCAGACCCTGCAGGAGGGGATGCAGCTGCTCTGCAGGACCCTGGGCAGTTGCCCCGATTTGCCCTACCCAAGGGACAGCTCTGTCTACATGAGACATTTACTGTGCAGTTGACTAATTAATTGTGCAGTAAACACCACAGTGTCTACAAATGTTCCTCTATTAGGACACAGGAAACTAATAAACTCTGCAGCAGGGTAGGACTAGTAAATACTGCAGAGTGGGTTTTTATTTTTTTTTTTTTTTTGTGCGCAGTAGCACACATGCAGATGCTGAGCTGGCTGCCTGGGGCACGAGGAGCTACCTACTGGCTAATCCCACACTGAAGCCCCCTTGTCTGATGCCCCCTTGTGCCCCAGCCAGCCCCTTTGCAGCATGTTGAGCCCAGTTGGAGCAGCCCCAGGTTGGCAGTCTGCCCCCCGGGGTCTGGCAACCAAAGCTGCTATGGCCTAACTCGGTGTGTTGTGGTCCAGGTACAAGTCTAAGCCACATGTCTACGAGCTTCACAGCACAAACAAACTATAGAGCAATAAGCTCTGCAGTTTATTGCTGCGCATTAATTGCTCGTGTAGATGTGTCCACTGACAACTAGTATCCTTAAGGAGGATTGACTGTTCATTATCTGAAGTCGGTGCCCATGTTCTGAGTAAGTACACAGCCTTTTTCTCACCCCTGATGCTCTGTACTTAAAGTACCTTGTCATAATAAGCATATGCTTATCATAGGGGTAGATAAGGTATCAATAGGAAAGCAAAATCTTTGCTAAAAAGCATATATATTTTTGTAGCAATTCATTCTTATTTAGGCCAGTTGCTGGTACCTTTCTATGCATTGTGTAGTGGAAATCAGTGGGCTCAGGAAGTAAGGTACTTTTTGCACTTAAATTGGCTCTTAAAGAACTTGACTTACCTCTGAGTTTCAATTCAAAGAATTTCTCTATAAAGCAATGAGTTGCTAGATGAGTAACCTCACATCTGAGAGAAGTTTTATTATCAGATGCTTTTGGAGAAAATTGTAACTTGCTCACATAGAAACATAAACCATTTCTTGCACTTTGAAGATTTAGGGTATTGTCTTCCTGTAACTTCATCCAGTCTTTATACCATGCAACTTTTATTTCCTTGGGTGCAAAATCAGATATAGAAGCTTCAAGACAGACGGTCTCATCAACGTTTGGTCGGGCAGGAGTTGCTCTTATTTCAGAAACGGTAGGAGACTTTGCTAAACAGAAGGGCAAAGTTTCCATTAGGAAGACTGAGATAAGATACTCCTGGTGAAATATATTAGTGTGATTATCAGGGAGAAGAAAAATTGAACCAAAGGAGAAGCATTGAAGCCAGTAGTGAACAAAGAGGAACCCAGCCCCAGGCATCCCCTTGGAGAGGAGGTGGGGACAAAAATGGCAGCTGCCACCACTGCTGTCCCAGCCACTATCATTGTCCCAACCAGCTCAACCCCTGCCACAGCTGTCAAGCAGTGTGCAGACCATGGCAATTATGTCTGACTTTTTTTTTTTTCCTGTGTCATTGAGCACCTGGCCTTGATCCTGTATAAGTCAGCTGCAATATATTGCATATTTTACAGCAGTGACACTCAATCCTTTGGCCCTGTGAGCCAGATAAGTGGTGTGGTGCTGGCCCACAGGCTGGATCAGATCCTGTGTACCAGATCAGGCCCATTTGCCCATCTCAGGCCCCACGCTGCCCCAGCTGGCCCCTGTGCGCTGCGATCAGGTTGTATGCCAGGATTGGGCCCTGGGGCCCTCCACTATCTCTGTGCAGGCCCTGGGACCTCGTGCTGCCTCCACTCAGCCCTATGCACTATTGGGCCCTGCACACCCAACCGAGCATGCAGGGCCATGGCTTGTGGGTAGGACGATGAGGCACTGAAGGACAGATTTGGCCTATGGGCCAAAGGTTGAAAGCCCCTAGGTTTAAATTACTGAGATAAGCAGGGGGATTCAATCCTGTATTAAAGAGTTGTGCCAACAGGTTATTTCTCCCTAGTGGCATAAGTAAGGCCCTATAATGCAATGTACTTTGTTAGCACACTGATTATGACTGAACAAATCTCAAACCAGCACCCATTTTCATTCAGCCTGTGCCCCAGACCCTTCTGAAGTAATCTACTGCACAGTAAAGCATCACCATCTATGCATACACAGCATTTACTGTGCAGTAAATTAGTCTACTGTGCAGTTGGCTATTACCTATAGATACAAGTAGGAGATTTACTGTCCAGCAACTACGGCACAATAGCACACATGTAGACAGCTGACTGGAAGCAAATTGCTCCTGGTCAGCCCAGGCAGTAGGGGGCTGGGACACTGTCCCTAGCCCCAGGCAACTGCCTGCTTCCCAGCCCCTGCTTTGATCAGCAGATTGGAATGGGGGCTGGGGAGCAGGCAGCAGCCCAGGGTAGGGGACAGTGTCCCAGCCCTCACTCTGATCTACTGATGAAAATGGGGTACAGAGAAATAGGCACCTACCCAGGGCAGGAGACTATTTACTAGCCCCAGTACCTGCCAATCGGGGCACAGGGCTGGGAGGCAGCTACCCCAGAGGTGGGACAAACTTGCTCCCTGTTGGCCAGGCAACAGGGGGCAGGAGATTGCTCCTTGCCCCCAGGAGCTGCCAGCTGCCAGGGCAGGCTCAGCCACCAGAGCCCAGGTGTGGAAAATGTCCCCCTGCCCTGGCAGCAGGAAGCTCCCAGGTCCTGCTCTGCAATCACGATCACAGAGCGTGGGCAGGGAGCAATCTCCCAGCTTTTGCTCTGTGATCACGATTGCAGAGCTGGAGCAAGGAGGTCTCTGTATGGAGAGAGTTCCCCAGCCAGCCTGGAGCTGGCTCAGACCTGCCCTAGACTGGGACAGTTCCCAGCCAGCCCTGGGCTGCACAGGGAAGACTGCATGTGCAGCCTGGAGCTGACGAGGAACTGTCCCATTTTGGGCAATACCCAGCCAGCTGCACATGCAGACTTCCCTGTGCAGCCTGGGGCTGGCTGGAAAATGTCCCAGCCCTGCAACTTTTTCCCAGCCTTGTGCCCTGATTGGCCAATCAAGGCACGGGGCTTGGAAGGGGCAGGTCCCAGCCCCTTGTTCCACGTTGCTGGTGGGACAGCTAGCAGCAAGCCCTCAGCTGGGTCCCCACCCAGCTGGGGCAGCTCACTGCTAGCTGCCCCACCATAATCTTGGGGCAGGGGGCTGGGACCTGCCCCTCCCCTGCAGCTCTTTCCAAACCCCCTTCCCCTGATTGGAGAACAGAGGCCAGGAGCTCCCTGCTACTGGGGCAGAGGGACATTGTCCCCATGCAGGCTCCACCACCAGAACCCACCCCAGCAGCAGGCAGCTCCTGGGGGCAGGGAGGAATCTCACAGCACTAGCCAGGAGATGGCTGTCTCCTGGCCCTGTGCTCTCTGCCATTCCCTGGGCTAGCACCCAGGGGGAGCCTAGGGCTCCTGCTGACTGCTGCAGAAGGCCACTGCAGGGCCAGAGGGGGCAGGATCAAACTGCTACCAGGAGCAGCAAATCTGCTCCCAAATGCCTGCCCAGGGTGGATTTACTCCAGAGTAGATTACTCTGGAGTAAACCCATGCAGCAGCATTTGCATAGGTAGATGCCTCTAGTAAGCATAAAGTGCATTAATAGCACGTGTAGATCTGCCCAGAGGATGCATCTGCATGTTAAATTAATACCAAGCAATAAACTCCGGTGCTTATCATGCCAAAGTTTTTTGCTCCTGGATACCATGTCATCATGTGCTCCCAAGACTGCAGCATGTTGAGCTGAGCTGGAGCAGCCTCAGCTGGCAGGGGCCCTGATGGTCAACCTGCCAGGCTGAAGCTGCTCTGACCCAGTTCGACAGGCTAGGGGATCAGGTGTATTTACAAGTACAAATTTGTGGCAGAGCTAATTAGTTTCCTGTGGCCTAATAGGACCACCAGTGTAGACCTTGAGACTTTACTGCAGAGCTAATTGGGCAGCTCTGTAGGAAATGTTTCGATGCGCCAGTGGGGGCATTTATATGCACCACTGTGAACCAGGGGATGAGGGGAGGAAGAGCAACTCCCAGGCTGGATAGAGGTTCTGGGGAATCAGCCCCAGGCTCTAGTTGGTGGCATTGGGCAATGGAGGGGTTGGCTGAGGCATGAGGGTGCTAAAGTTCAGGGCTAGGCAGTAGGCAGCCCCTGCACTTCAGCAACATTGTGCCCTAGCCATCCTCTGTCACCATGTATACATGCATATTGGCACACAAGAACTCAATTGTAAAATAGTACTGACGGAGATAATACTATCTGATGATGGAGTTAGTTAATTTACTGGATCCCAATACTGGTGCATGTGTAGACAGTGACACTTTACTGTGGAGCTAATTAGTCTTCTCTGCAGTAAAGCGCATGTGTAAATGGACCCAGTAAAAATGTTCCTCTTAGAAATGATGCCTGAGGAAAACAGAGTTGGGGGTCATGTGGTCAGATTAAACATAATATATCTGATAAAAATACTAACAGGCTGCTGAAATGGTGAAACCCAAACATTTCATGAGAGGGGGAAACATTCTTTTTTGGGGTTTTTTTTGGGGGGGGGGTTGGGGGGAATCATTTCTTGTTTGTGGTTTTGTTTTGTTCTTTAATATAGACAAGGCCTGAAAAAGTGGGTCTTTCTTCTTAACACATTTAACAGAAAAGCATCTCAGGTTCTTCTCCCATTTGGAATTCAGAATTTCTAGAGAAATACAACATCATAAACCCCCCCTGCTAAATTCAGTCAGGATTTATCTTAGTTTTTGTCAGTCACAATCCACATAGGGAGTTCCAGAGGCAAAAAAGTTTCCAGTGGAGATGTCTGCATGAAGGTGTTGTATGCACTGGTGGTACATCAAAAAGTAGCCAGAAGTGGGGTGTAGGCAAGATCTCTTAAGCTGTCTCCACTGTTGGGCTGCTATAACACCTAAACCTGTACTTGGAAGGAGGAAGTGGGGGAATGAGAGCAGAAACATTTTCTGCCTTCTTGTGGGGTGACTTCCTGTCATGGGGAGAGAGAATTTAGTGCATCTGGACTTCTGTCCATTACCCACAAATATATTTTTCCTTATGGTCTATCCAATATTACTCTATCATGCATTAAAGTGAAAGGATCCAATGCCTTCATATACATACCTGGGAGTTTTAGGAACATGTATTTTGTAATGGGCTGTGTCAGAGTCTCATGCTTCACTCTGAAGACAATCTTTTTGCCATAATCCAAAGCAGTGGGAGTTAGGTCAAATTTACAAGATGTGTGGAAACAACCTTTTGAGTCCTGTTTTAGGTCCTCCATGAATGAACCACTCCTGATTTCATCTTCTTCCTTTAACCACTGGACTTGAATATCCTTGGGATAGAAATCCATCACTTCATAGGTTATAGAGAATGGGTCTCCATATTTCATATCATTTGGATGAAAAACAGGACCTGTAACCTTTGGAAAACCTGCAGAAGGTTGAAAAGTAAAGAGATAAGTTCATCAAGGAAAAAATAAAATATAGATATGCTATAATATGTGTCAGTATTAGAGACATGCAGAGGAGGATGTGAAAATTAATCAAACAGACCTTATTGTTGCTTAGCTAATGATTCTGAAAGACAGAAAACTATGGATTAGCATTACCAAAGATTTACTAAACATGAGACAGACTCTTCTTTTGGTGGATCTAATGCATTACAAGACAGCTAAATTCCCAGCTTCCCATATAAACATCTACACTATCTTACTGATTATTCAACTCACTACTTTTCTCAGGAATAACTCCTTTACCTTTTTTATAAAGTATACAGAGATACTTCATATGCTTATATTCCCTGCCAATGACTTTTTAAAGAATAACTTGTAAGAGATGTTGATTCTTTCTTGTTGTTCATAGGCTTGAAACATAAGGCTGAGATTTTTCAGGTCCATGTAAGGGACTTGGATGCCATATTCCTGTTAAAACTCATGAGAATTTGGTTTCCAAATCCCCTGAGAAGCTTTGAAATTCCCAGATTAATTCTGCTTTTAGTAACTGCATCTATACAAGACACTGACTTGTGCAGTGCATAACCAAGTATTAAATGAGTGAGCAATAACCGGCATTACTGTGCAGTAGCATCCTGACACGGTTGCCTAGTGACATTTACCCTCTGCACATAAGACATCCTTCCCTTAAATGTGTGAGGCCGGGGTCTCTGGAGTTGGGAGAATTGAGCTATTATTGGGAAAGCTTAGGGAACTGCTGCTCTTCCTAGTATTTCCCTAACATAACCAATGGTCAGATGTCCATGTGAGAATTAAACTGATCCAAAATGTATCAACTTCTACTCTAGGTCAGTGACTTCTTGTACAGTGTGAATTAGAACAAAGGAGAGCACACAAATAACTTGTCCAAAAAAGAGCTAGTTAGTCACCTTTTAACATGAGAGGATAAGCTTTTCTTATAGTTCTGCTGCAATGGGTAACTTCCATAAAGTATGTGACTGCATGGTCCTCTGGCTGAGGCATAATTGTGATATAACTTGCTTTATGATGCAGGTTTGTTGCTGTATTTGGCTGGATGTCCTGCATTCTAACTGCAGCATTGCCAAGTTCTTCAAAGTCTCTTATCCAGTGCACCTGACACTCTGCTGGGTAGTAATTAGTCATTGTACAGGATAGCGTGACAGACTTCCCAACTTCAGGAATACTGGGATCACATACAATTTCTGAAACTTGTGGATTAAGTACTGCAAATTAAATAGGAAAAAAGAAACAATATAAAATGATTAGGGAGTTGAAAGATACAGAACCAAAGTGTACACTTTCCATGAGGCTTCCACTGACTTATGAATTCACAGTGGACTTTTCCATAGAAGAGAGCACAGTGATTGGACAGAGGGAAGGGTTTAAAACAAGTTTGAAAACAAGACTAAAACTGCACCTTAGCTGAGATTCAAAATAAAATAACTCTTCAAGGAAGAGCAACTTTTGTCTGTCAGAGACAGAAAGTGTCGAAGACAGAAAGTCTGTTCCATTCTCTTGTGCTTTTATTCTAATATGTTCAAAACAATTTCCCAGAAAACTCTTTTGGAGACTTTAACATGTTGTATCTCTGCATGTCAATTTATAAATAAAAGCTGCACGGGTACCTACACACGCACAATTTCAGTTATAAATCTGGTATCAGAAAAGGTATTTTGCTAACTTGAACAAAGTGCAGGGTTTTGAAGAACATCCTCAGGAAAGGGTTTAGCATGTTGGAAAGATAACAGATCTAAGGATCTCACTCAGAGACAGGTCACATGAGCCTTGCCTTCAAGAGAAAACAACACACCATTAACCAGGGGCGGGCAACTATTTCAGGTGGAGGGCCGCTTACTGAGTTTTGACAAGACATCAAAAGCCACATGACAGGCAGCCAGGGGCAGATAAATATTAATTTTCTAAATTTTTCAGGGACCCCATGGGCCAGATAGAATGGCCTGGAGGGCCACATGCGCATTTTGCATGCCCCTGCATTAAACTGTAGTGTGGACAAGACCACTTGTATTTTTAACACAGAACTAGCTGATGTAAACCCTGTTTTTTAGAACTACAATGGTCTTGCCTGCTCTGGAGCTTAATGGGTGTCAGGTATATGACAGAACAAGGAGCAATGGTCTTAAGTTGAAGCAAGGGAAGTTTAGGTTGGATATTAGGAAAAAAACTTTCTCACTAGGAGGGTGTTGAAGCACTGGAACAGTTTACCTAGAGAGGTGGTGGAAGCTCCATCCTTGGAAGCTTTTAAGGCCCAGCTCGACAAAGCCCTGGCTGGAATGATCTAGTTGGGGATGGTCCTGCTTTGAGCAGGGGGTTGGGTTAGATGACCTCCTGAGCCTTTCCAAATCTAATTTTCAATGATTCTATATTTCTAATATGTTAACATTTTCTCTTGCCATGGACATGACATTCAGGTGAAATTCAGGCATAAGCAGAACTTCACAAATATGAGACCTGTGCACTATATAACTCTTCAAAATATGGTATCATTATTTCTACGCTTTGTGTTGGTTCTCTGAACAGGTGGCATTTTAGTAAGGAACACCTGAGTATTATCTCATGACCCAGAGGAGGAGAAGGAGGATTGAATCTCTTAGAAGCAGCACATTTGTTTTGGTGAAGATGGTTAATCAAATTCATTTCTATGAAAAGAAATTAAATAATGCTTTGGTACTTTAACTTACCCAGATTTTCCAGCTGCCAGGAAGATTCTTTATACAGGTGTGAGTGCCTATGTTTTGCTCTGCATGTGAATCTCTTTCCAACATCCTCAGCTTTAGGAACAAATGTTAAATTAGTGGTATAGAAAAAAAGTCCATCTGATCTCTTAGTCTCTTCACTAGTGACGGATTCTTCCAATGCTTGTTCATCTTTACACCACTGTAATTCAATTGTTTTAGGAAAAAAAGAATGAATTCTGCAGGTCAGAGTCAGAGGCTCATCAAGTTTTAGCTCATCAGTAGAACACAGCACTGGATCCAAATTTGGCTCAGCTAGAAAGGAAAATAACCAAAATCAACTTTGAAAATATGACGGACAATACATGACCAATTCTATAACTACTGAGCATTTCCTTTCAGGTACTGAACACCATCAGCTCCCATCAATGGGAATTGTGCATGCTGAGCCTCATATAAGAGGCCCTCTGACCTAAGTTCATAGAGATCTGGATGGAAACTACCAGGTATGTATTTTGCACTATACTGTTGAAATATTTTTAATTTCACATTTTTCTGACATAAAAAGCACTGCATACTGCTACTCATAAGTTTGAGCAGAAATTTGCTTGACTGATGCAGTGCCTCTTGAGCTGCACCTAATATTCCTTTCTGCTACACAGTTGCTCAGTTTATGAAACCAAGACTAGGCATCATCTGCATTCTGGATCAAACCTTCTAAATTGTATGGACAGACAAAAAAATAATTATCCTATAAAGAAGTTTGTATTTCTGACTGCATGGCACTAGCGTAGGGAAAATAATTTATTAATTTAAAGGTAATACAAGTGATTCTAGAACTAGTTTTACTGTCTTCAGTAATACAGTAGACAAGATCTTTGGAATCTCAGAGCAAGACAGAGAAGACACTGGATTTTGAGAAAAGGTGACAGATGTAAATCTTCATATTTCAGTTAAAAGGGCTGCTTTAATCATGAGAGAAATTTAAAATGACAAATCTACATTTAAAAGTTCCTGTATTATTAAATGTCTGGTCAAATACTTAGGAGTTTCCATCTAATGTTATACAATCTAATTTGAGAAAATATGAAAACATTCACCAGAATATCCTTAATATTATCAAATGTTCTGACATTGACACAACCTTTCCATGACTCCTATATAGAATATTTTTCTGGCACCTCTAGGTTGATTTATTTCTCTTGTACTATCTTTAAATACACTTTATTCAAGGAAAACAAGGGCTAGGGTTAGCAGGGGTGTTACCAGCCAGTACTGAGATGCATTGACAAAGCTAAACTAGAAACCCAACTCTACTATACCTGCTTCACACCATTGCTACTTTTTCTTATTGTTAAAGAGCATTAAATAGTACAAAATATGACACGCATGCATAAATATACCACATTGAAAGTTATATTATTCTAATATCATAAAAGCCTTTGTCTGTCTATCTGTCTGTCCATAACGCTTTATTTGCACTCTGACTGGCTGATTTGAAACAACCAGTCGGAGTGGTCTAAGAGCGTTTGGACAGGAGACAGCGGAGCAGAGCACCTCCAGGCCAGGGACACAGAACAGAGTGGGGTGGGGGGGGCAGACAGAGTGGGAGGGAACAGGCCTGTTCCCCCCTCCCCCCAACCAGATAAGAAGCAGGGGTGGGGTCAGACGTGGGGGATGCAGAGCCACCAGGCCCTGACAAAGCTGGCAGGGGAGGGGAGCAGGAGTGGAAGGCAGGGGGGGAAGAGGCAAGGTGGCAGGGCCCTGCTGCTTCCACACCCTGACAACAGCCCTGAAAGGGGGAAAGGGGGGATCGGGATTGGCCCCAAAGCACCGGGGGTGAGGGTGGGGGGAGTGGGCCCGTTCGCCCCCTTCTCCGACAGGATGAGAAAACAGGGGTGGGGCTCAATGCGGGACTCCGTCCTCGCCTGCCATGATGGTGGGGAGTGCACTGCCGCTGCCACCGGGCCAGGACAAAAGCCAGCAGGGAGGGGAGTGAGGGGGGGAGGGGAGGTACGGTGACAGCATGCCACTACCACCGCTGCTGCCACCACCATGCCCTACCAGCAGCTGAAAGGTGGGGAGGGGAGGCAGGTGGACACAGGCTGGAGGACCCAGAGTGCAGGGGTTGGGGGAACAGGCCTGGGCCAGAAGAGCACAGCACAGTAACAGCCTGTACTGCACCATATACTGGGTGCACAGTTATTTTTTGCCACTACTTTGCCATAGTGGTACACTATAATGAGGGAGCACATCACTACAGTGAAGTAGGTGCTGGTCATATGTAGACTCACGTGGTCGCTACGTTGCCACAGCGTGTCACTACAGTAACATTGTATTACATGTAGACATGCCCTTAGTGTATAAAGTGCATCTCTACCTTGCCTCTTTCCCCTTCATGTGCTGCAAAGTGGTTTGCTTACCTCTGACCTTCAGTAATGTCGTTCTTATAGTGGGCCCCCTCTGAAGGGCCTCGTGACTAATTTCTAGTGAAAGCTCCGCATTGTCATGCTCATGAACGTTTGGACGTACATGAATGGTGCATGAAACTTCAAAAGTGCCATTATCATGTGACTGCAAATTTAACTGAAACTGAAAATCTCTGAACTTCTCCAAGAGAGCAGTTCCTTCACTGCTTTGTTTAGTGTCCTGTTGTATGCTTTTCCAGGAGTAAATTTTTTCTTTTTCTTGCTGATGTTTTTTAAGAAAAAAATCTACCATTATACATTTTGGACGAAAGCCAGAAATCTGGCAGTACAAAACAGAATCTTCCAAATGTTTCATTTCCACATTCCCTGTGAATGCTGTTATGTTTGGTGGAACTGTAAGGAAAAATGTAAATGTTAGTAAGTAGCTCAATACAGTAACTCAAGAATGGAAAAAAAAGTAGACTGCTTGTTTTCTATATCCATACATTACAGCAGTGCAATTATTAAAGTGAGCATTTTTAGCAGTACTGTCTTTATTCTTTTATTACTGAACTGTGCAATTTTACTGCCTTACAATTGTGTTCCTTCAATTGTTTTTCTTACTACAATCATTGAAATATACCTTACTATAGAGTTTAGCTATTTTCAGTCTTCTATGTTAATCTTGTATGTGAAAGATTAGTCAAGAGTTCTTTTTTGACCACAGCTCTTCCTTTGATGTGTGTCAATATTTTAATGATGTTAGTAATAAAAACAGTTCATTACATTGAGTTTAAGTTAGTGCCTAGTTACTAGTGGTGATGTGTTTGGGTGGGGTAATTTAGAATGATACTCTTTAATCACCTAACCAATAAAAGGCAACTTTTTAAGGGTAAATCTTTTTGGGATGATATATGAGTTCAGCACACTTTATTACTCAAAATTACTGCTTTTCCTTGTTACCACAATCTAGCTTATTTAAAAGTGTTCAGGACAAGCACAGAATCACTCTGCCTCTCTTTTTCCTTAAAGGGCTTTGGGAACATCTGAAGCATTTGGGGAAACTGGGGTTTGGGGTAAGTGGAGGAACAAGGGTTCGAATTTTGGATGACCTAGCTAGCCTTAATACAATTGCTAGGTGAGCAAAGAGCATCCTGATGCAATATTTTCTATTAGTTTTTCACTGAGATTTAGGCTTGAAATCAAAATGTTCACAAAAACATTTTTTTGTGAATTGTTAGTGAGGTGCAGCTTGAAAATTACTTACTTCTTTTTAAATACTTTTTGTATATGAAAGCTACCACTGCAGTCACGAAAATGCAAAGTAGTATGGTTCCAACACAGATGCCAGCTAAAGTGCCCACATCTGACTTGGGGGCTGTGAATGAAAAAAATTAAAGAACATTCTGATTATGTTTTGCCTGCTTCCTCATGTCAGACAAGGAACTTATTGGACTAAATCTTCCATGTAAATGAATAACTAGTTATTTAGATTTTAGTACAGGTCAAGCAAGGAGCTGCTGTGGCTCAGGACAGGGTCAGGGTAGCTCATGTAGCAAGTAGAGAATGTATGGGGCAAGGGGAGAGTGGGGCAAGGAGGTACACAGTGCAGGGAGGAGCACGGAAGAAAAGGGGTGCACGGTGCAGGGGGGAGTAAGGGGAAAGGGGGTTTGCAGTGCAGAGGGAAGCATGGGGAAAGGGACATACGGTGCAGAGGGGGAGTGCAGGGGAAGGGGAATGAGGGCATAAAGGGAAGTCCAAAGAAGGGGATGTGCGGCGCAGGGAGGGGGAGCACATGGAAGGGACATGCGGTCAGTGTTGGGGGAGTACAGGGAAAGGGTGTTGAGGAAGCAGAGGTGAAAGGATGTGTAGAGTGAAGGAAATGAAGGGAGAGTTGTGTGGAGCATGGGAGAAGTGGAGCACAGAGCAAAGGCAGCTCCATGGCTGAGTGCTCCATGCTCCTGAGGGAGACGGAGCCAGAGAAGCTGCAAAGATAAGCAGGGGGGAGGGTGGGGCAGGCACCAAAGGGAGACAAGTAGCAGGAGGTGGACAAGGGCTGTGGGGCAGGCTACCTGCCCCCCAACCCCTGCTTTTCCTGCCACTACCTTCTTTGTGGCAGTGGTGGGAGAGAGAAATTTTAAGATGACCCTCCGATTAACTAGATCTAGATGTGGAATATTATAACAAATTTATAATTTTCCATGTCTAGAATCTAATTATTGGGGAGTTGCCTTATTTGAGTAAATATGGTCTCTGAAATGTGGTAAGTTTAAGTAGAATCAGAATTATTTCTGGCTATCATGTTTCTAAAAGAATCAGAGAATAACTGCCAGCAGGAGAGGATCCAGTGTGGTTGTGGTGGCCCAGTTGCACCCTACTTTGGTCTGTGCTGCATGTGAGGTCTTGGTGCAGGGTGCGCCCAAAGTTCCTTCACAACTCTGACAATCAGAAAATTAGTGCTATCACTGCTCTTCTTTCCCAATGCTGAATTCAGGTGGGTGTGGGGGGATGAGGAAGGGCAAACAGCAGCAGCACTCATTCCCTGGGCTCAGGATCCATGTGAAAGCAGGTGCTTTGGGAAAACCCTTCCCTGGTCAGCTGGTGAGCTCCAGCAGGAGCCTGCACTGACCAGGCAGAGAGCTCAGAGCATCCACAACACCGCCAAAGTGGTGGCTGTCCCCATTCCTGGACCTGCTACTGTTCGCCAGTCGCATTGTGTTGCATCAAATCACAATTACAAATTGCCTTCACCAGGAAGATCATTAAGGATGCTCACTTAAAATACGCATATTAGCAACAGTCCAAGGAATGAAAACAATAAAAATGTATAAGAGTAAAAGTACCCTTTCTTGAAAGACACCTCTGGATCAACTCAGTAATCTCCCTGAGGCTCTAAAATGTTGTTTGTTCCACTGCCACGAAAACATGGAGCCTCCCAAACAGCACTGATGTCATATCGACCCTTTCTCTTTACAGAATTGGCTCTCAATAGTGTCTCTGCTTTCCTTCCTCTCCTGATAGGCAAGTCAAGTCAATCCCATGACCACATCCAGACAAGCATTCACATATGGTTTGTGGTATCTCAAAACTGTTTGAGATGCTGCAAACCACACGCAGCACACGTGCACCCATTCACCACACTGCTCATTTGCAGCACAGCACCAAAATTTGACACTGGGAGATCTTGGTGTCAAAAAAAACCCGCTGCAAAAAAAAAAAGCAGGACAGTGCATGCAGCAGCAGCAGCCAGAAACAGAGCCTGGCTGTGCAGAGCCATGTTCTGGCTGCCAGAAAGGCTCCATGCAGACAGATCAACACTACTGCTACCTTAGGAGGCCCCCAGGATCCCAGGTAAGGTTGCTAAGGCCAGCACAGTTTCTGGCCCTAACCTCCTCTTCCCTACCGGGGACTACTTGATGCATGCCAGAGCATGCACGCAGGGCCATGCCCTGGGGCACAAAGCAGTGGCACAAATATGTGCTGCTACTACTTATGCTGCAGCAAACATGCATTCCTACACATGCACGCTCATCTGGATGTGCCGCTTCTGAGTGCCACTGCATGGTCAGCTCTCCTGTTTGTCTCTCTCAAAGGACACCTACTATTACTGCGCTATGGGGACAGCGTAAGGTTGACATGATTCAACTTCCTAGAAAATGGGTCTAGCTGCAGTGTTCTGGAACCAGTAACATTTTGACAGGAAAGAGAAAAGGATGCTGCAGGAATGCTTACCTGTCACAGTCAAGGTGGCAGTAACAAGTAAATTGTCTTGCAATGATTTGTGACTCACTATACACCTATAGACATTTCCACTATCTTGCAAAGATGGCTGCAGCCTTAATTTGCTGATGACATTAAACGTGCCATCTTCATTTTCCACAGAAGTTCCTGTGCAGATGTCTTCTCCTGCTACACCACCGTCCTGATGATTCTTTGAAACCTTAACCCACCTAATGTTAAGTGAATTTGGATAGAAATTTTTTACTTCACATGACAGGGTCTTCTCTTTGTCACTTTCAATTGTGACTTCCTCTGGGAACAAGTTGACAGCTGGCTGAGCTGCAGTGAGATAAGAATTAGATTGTAGTCATCGTCATGAGTTCTTTATTTTTGTACACAGGTGTTACAGAAATCTCAGATAACTGCAATGCTTAATCTTCATTGGAGCAGTGAGAGGGTTTTTATGTTAGAATTTTTCTCACAAACATGAATACAGTAGGCAATAACATTTGGACTACAAATGGCATGCATTATCATTAGGATCCCAATGGTTTTGTTAGACTGTTCACTGTAAATAAATATTTGTGGAATTAATACAAGTACCAACCATAAGAATTAAATGCTAAAAGCCCTTCCTGGTCAAAAGCTTAATGACAATGACAAACAGATTGTTTACATCAGGGGTGTCAAGCTGGCTGGCCCACAGGCCTTCTCAGGGTCTTAAAACACACCTCCAGATCCAGCCCCCAGATCCAGAAATTCAGTGATGTGGTGAACAGTGGCAGTGTTAACCCCCATGGCTTGCCAGAGGTACCTTGTCAGAAGGGCCAGCACAACACTTCTGTGACAAGCCCTGCTATCTAGTTCATGGTTTGGGATTCCTGTTGGGGATGCAATTCTGTGGAAGCAGGGGGAGTGGCAGCTGTCAGAGCCTACTGCCACTGGCCCTGCCACCATTGACCTTGGCCCTGCCACTAGAGGTGAGTCTTCTGGCTCAAAAAGTGCCCTGTTGTCTGTATCCAGCCCACAGGATGAAATGAGTTTGACCCCCCCAGGTTTAAAGTTATATTTCTGCTTGAAAGGGAAATGCTTGAATAGGTAGAATTGTCGAGCTGTTGCAATGGAAAAGGAGCTGCATCTTTTCTAGCTGTGAAATGAAAGGTGGTCATAAATAGGGAAACACAGAGTCCAAGATCTCTATACTGCATCCCCACCACCAGGACTGGAATCACAACTTTCCCTGTTTCCTTAGTTGTCCTAGGATAATCATACAGTTCTGATCCCTCAAAGATGCCTCTGATATATCAGTCTTTTTTACCTTATGGATCCCAGTAGCCTAAAACAACAGAAAAACTAAAAATTACTTACCAACTACCTCCAAAACACCTGTGTCTTCAGCTGCAGAAGGTGTAACAGTTACTTTGCATCTGTATGTTCCCGCTTCCTTAAATTGTACTTTTGGTAGAAAAAGTGAAGCATTTCCCCTTATAAGCTCATCCTTAGATATACTGGTTCCTAATCTATAAGAAGTAGAGGTTCCAGCAAGAAACTGGAACAGTGTCTCTTCTTTGTCTGTGTTAGAAGTCTTCCGAGACCAAGTGACTCCCATTTTGGAGATATCCAGTGGTGTATCATATCCATGGATTTGGCATGCTATTGAGGTATTGTCATTCAGTGATGTAATCACAGGCTTAGTCTTCATCCTCACTGTAATGGTTCCTTCAAAAAAGAAAAATATATATAAGAAATACGTCCTACAAAAGGTCCTTTAAAGAAGGTATGTTTTACTTCCAGCTCCAAACATCTATGAATCTGTCAGCAAGATTCATTCATTTTCCAGCCTTATGTTTTCTTCATAAAGTAAAGCACATGTAGTGTCTGATTGATTTTAAACTCCTTCAGGTCAGGGCCATTAATAATCCTTGGATTGGATTTCATCCAATGGAGAGATGCTATGAAACAGCACATGTTGAGGCAGGGGCAAATTATGAAATGTAATGGAGATTATATCACTTCATTAGTGTGCTTTATGCATTAGCAGGACCTGCACAGACCAAAGAAGCCCAGGGGCGGTCTCCCGAATTTAACTAACTAGGAGGTGAGACTGAGGAATTGATATTGGGTTAGCTCTGATTAATTATGGCCCCCTGATATGTATGATGGTGGGTTGGGTTCTATTTCTTCCCTACTCCCCTACCATAATGTAGAGAAACTTTAAAAGGGCTGTCTTTTTTAGTGCAACACTTGCATCTGACAGGCCTGAAACTGAACCATCTACCCAGGTAAATAATGAGGTGGAGAAATAGAGGGACACATTTTCCAAATATTTTAAAACACAGAAGTCCTGGCTCTGTCTGCCACCCAGCAGCAGATAGCTGTCGAGTTCTCCCCCAGAAACGGGGAAAAATCAGGATAGGCGAAGGGTTGCTCAGAGGGATAGGGAGTTGATTTATATGAGCTCTTCCTCTCCCCAATAGTTCCCAACCTTGCTTCTGTGAAGAAAATGCAAGACATTTCCACACTAAACCAAAAGTTGTGAGGCCTGTTTTCTGTGGCAAGAAGGAGTTATGGCATTCATTCTTATCCATAACCACTCTGAGGACTTCATCTGGGAGAATAGCTGGCATAGTATTTCCCATTTACAAGTTTATTTAGTCTCACTGGCTGTGCTTACACATGCTCTGGGGTTGGGGCAGGGGAGGGAGTGCTTTAATTGGAGCAGCTCTTGGGAGCCACTCTAATTAAAGTGTCTGCAGCATCTCATATAGTCAACATCCCACACTTCAAAATGACAGCAGGAGTGCTTTAACTACAGATTGTGTGATGTTCGGAGGTATTGGACATGTGTCTAGGTACCTAATAGGTACAAATAGAATTGCTTAAAAATAGTTCAGCTGGGATCTTCTCCCCAAAGGAACACTTAGGTTTATTCCATGGTACTGGCATTGGTTTGTTTTGCACAGAATGAAGTGAAGGTTTCTAGAGAGAGTGAATGTATAAAATTGATCTTTAGCATGTAAATGGCTATGGGTTGTTTATGGAAGCCAAAGAAAGACTTTAAAAGACTTTACCTATACACAGAAGTATATATTTCTAATTGGGATCTTATTCTATTTAGTCGACACGGCTTTCCTCTTAGTAAAGAAACTGATAAGAGTTTTTAAAGATTGTCCTGATTGTATCTTCTAATCTGAATGTCAGGCTGCTCTCCTGGCTTTCCCTTGTTTCATAGTTTCATAGTAGCTAGGGTCAGGAGGGACCTGAACAGATCATCTAGCCTGACCCCCTGCCACAGGCAGGAATGGATGCTGGGTTCACAAGACCCCAGAGAGGTGATCATCCAACCTCCTCTTGAATTTGCCCAAGGTAGGGGCAAGGACCACTTTCCTGGGAAGTTGGTTCCAGATTTTGGCCACCCTAACTATAAAATATTGCCTTCTGATCTCTAACCTAAACCTATTCTCCATCAGCTTATGACCATTGTTCCTTGTCACCCCAGGTGGTGCTGGGGAGAAAAGAGCTCTGCCTATTTGCTGTTGATCCCCCTGCTGAGCTTGTAGGCAGCCACCAGGTCCCCCCTCAGCCTCCTCTTGCTGAGGCTGAACAGGTTCAGGCCCTTCAGTCTCTCCTCATAGGGCCTGTCCTGCTGCCCTCTCACCAAGTGGGTGGCCCTCCTCTGAACCCTCTCCAGGCTGGCCACATCCCTTTTGAAGTGCGGCGCCCAGTACTGGACGCAGTACTCCAACTGCGGCCTGACCAAAGTCACATAGAGGGGGAGTATCACCTCTCTGGACCGGCTTGAGATGCACCTTTGGATGCATGATAAGGTATGGCTGGCCTTGCTGGCTGCGGTCTACCATTGGCGGATCATGTTCATCTTGGAGTCAACAATGACTCTAAGATCCCTTTCCGCCTCTGTGCTTTCAAGAAGGGAACTCCCCAGCCTGTATGTATGCTGTGGATTCCTTCTCCCAAGGTGCAGCACCCTGCATTTGTCTACGTTGAACCCCATCCTATTCTC